TTTCTGACGGTTGCGATGATCTGGGAGAGTTGTTTGACCTCTACTCTCGCTTTTTGGTCGGTCTCGAATTAGGGTCAAGCGGCAGCAGGAGTCTCAAGGGTGCCCTTGCTCTGGGGGGAAAAAAAATGTTATCAGGGCTGATGCAAGGGTGGTATAACGAAGCGGACACGGCGAAGGGGACCTGGTGGGTGCACTTCACAGCTCAGGTTCCCCCAGACTGTAGCTCCCGGGAAGGTGCAGGCGACGAATTGACGGCTTGGGTCACACGACGGACCCCTTGCTTCTGACCTGACTTTATGACGAGAGTTAAAAAAATCAATATCCTCTGAGTCCTTGAGTGGCTAATAACGTGTGGAGACACATGTAAGCGGCAGTATCCTAATTTCTGAGGGTGAAGTGATACTGTTCGTGTGTGCCTGTTTTTTCATAACTGATGATCTGTATCGGGACCTCCCTTTGGTTGCTACTTCTAACATTTCCAGTGTCGATACACCCTTACTTGATTACCTCCAGGAGATTAATCAATACCGACAGAGGCAAATCCAGCTTTTTCCAATTCCCTGGCAGTGGAAGCTTGATCAGATGCAGCAGCTATATACTAAGGTCCTTTTCTTTAGTTCTTTAACATAAAACTAAAATTCATTTAAAGAAACTGCCCTTCCACTTCACTGCAGCCTCAGATGTCTCCGTGGTGAAAGATAATTATGTAAGAAGGCGATATTCGGCAATTAATCTAATTTTCACCCCATTTATCAAACAATTTTCTGTCTTACTCTCCTCTCTGTTTTATCAGTCTGGAGGTACAGAGGCAACTGAAAGAAAAGATGAACCTAAAACCCGGAGAGAGTTATTTTATAATAAAACCAACAGAAAGAGACCTTTTGCCCGCCGTAGTTTCAGTGCGCAACCCGATTTTATAACTTGCTGTCGACGAACTCCAAAGCCAGTATTGTTAGGAGTTAAGTGTTGCCATCGGTGCATGCCTGAAACACCCGGGCACCTGGAGAAAGTGAATAACCACCCCGAAATACTCGTCCCCCATCAAAATATAACTGCTCGTATTGAGCTCATTGGCCAAAAATATTAACCAAACTGTTGCTACTGAGTGTAACACGGGCAGTGGCAAGGTGGATTTCTTTGAAGAAAATAAAGTTCAGGATGTGTCAGGATTCCCAGCTGAGCAGCCCATGCTGGTCGCACTGAAAACTGCTGACATTTCTTGTAGAGACTAAAACCATTTCATTTGCGATTATAAATCTTTCCTTACTGCTTCAGGAGATTTCAATTAGCTACCAAACGGCAGGAGATTAGTGCTGGTAACCTATTGATTGGACACTTTAAGAAACAAAACAAACAGCAGCAAAACTAAATAAAAAACCCTCTGTAGGAGCTGACAAACAGTTTGAGGGAAAAAAAAAAAAAAAACAGAACAAAACAAAAGCCAAACCAAAACCCAAACAGTGCTAGAACTGGTAAGTCGCTGGAAATGAGACTTAAAAACATGCTCTTCAGGTTTGACATGACGGAAAGAGACAGTGCAGCTGGGTGACAAGTGGGTGGAAGACACGATGTGTTTCCATATTGGAAGAATAGCTAGAAGCCCTACCTGTGCTGGGAGATCTCTTGTGTTACACATGACACATATGTCATGACAGGCTGCCCCAGACTGCGTCATAGAATGATTAGAAAAGAAAGATATGTTTGAGACCTGGCCCCTGAAACTTCCGGCAGAAAGACTGTAATCAAACAGAACCTTTCTCAACAGGAAAATGTATTTGAAAAGCAATTGAATACATACATAAACGCATTGCTCATGAAACAGCGCAATACAAAGGTTTAAAAAAGCTGGTCCCTCTCTCTCTCTTCTACCTCTTTGTAAATGCCCCACATGGCTGATCCTAAACACAGCAGCTCCAGGAAACTTGATTTTCATCTCACCTGTGATGTTGTAAAATTCCTTGGGATTAGGATGATCAATCTCACTGCTGCATGTGGCAGCTTTTCTTCTTCAAGAGCATGCCGAGAATCAGAAGATCAAATTATTTCTGCTGGAGACTAAGCACTCTCACTTGTCTGCTCCGGTGGCAGGTTTTGCAAAACTCCCCCGGGACTGGTTTCCCGCTGGAGGCTCCTGATCCCGAGGCTGAACTTGCCACCGTTTTGTTTTGCTTTGCTGTTCTCTAATCACTGTGCACATAGATAACTTTGTGGACCAGCACAAGGACTCTATGTCAGTCCTTCTTGTCAGCTCCCCTGATTTTTGGACTTCTGCTTCTAACCAGGCTGGTGCTCAGCTCCAGAAGGTGAGGGAAGGTGCGGTACAGACTATGCATCTACATTTGCCTTGACACTGATGTTGAACACACCTTTACATCGTGAGATGTGATTGCTGATCAGTTCATCTGTAACTTTAAAGTAAAGATCATGCTTAAATTGCTTAAAAGAAAAAGCTGGAAACTGCTACTAAAAATGAAGGCCAGCAAACAACACAGGAATATTTATCCTGTGTCCCATTCGGTGTTCCAGTACCTGGGAAGTGCTCTGCCCCTAAAAGCCAGAAGCCTTTTATTTCAGAGAAGAATGTAATTCCAGAGAAGACAGTGTGTTCTGGAATGGGAAACAGTGATTGCAAGATAATCAGTGCAGAGAGGGGAGAATCATACCTGCCTCTATTCTGCTCTCAGCAAATCAATTACATTGGGACTGGTCTTTGTACAAAATCCAACAGAGACCAGAAAACATTGCCAGACATTCTAAGAAAAATGAAATGTGAAGGAATGTCCAGTGTGAAACAGCACAATATTCCCAGCTGTATCATAAAAATCAAGTTCTTTTGCACAAAAAAACACCGAGAACATACAAGCAGAGAAAGTCTGCAAGATCAGAAAATCTGCAGAAACCTAAAAGGTATAAAGCAGGAGAGGCAGGCGCAGACTTGCCTGAAGATGGCTCTAAAGAGGGCTGAAGCACGTCAGCGGGTGACAAATTTTCAAGTAAAGTTTTGTGCCCAGCTGTGAGCCTTTTTGGACCTAGAGGACAAGGGAGGCTTCTTTCACAAGCAGGTGTGTGGTCAGGGGGTCAGGAGCCATATCTGGAGTCAGCAATCCAATATACCAGATACAAATCACAAGTCTACCAGGACAATGGGTGTTGTGCCAGACCAGAATCGATGGGTGGGTTTGAGGACAAAGGCAGTGGCAGAGCTTTGTGTAAAGACATCATTGTACAGACCCACATCTGGATTTAGGTTCTCCACAGTGTACTGCAGTCTTATGTATCCTTTGGGACAGTGAGGTCTGAGTTGGTCTGGCTGGAGCAGAAGCCACCCTAGTTTGCTCAAAGTTTTTTCTTTAGTTGTTTGTGAATCATTCAGAAAGAAATAACACCTTGTTAATCAACATATACTTTCCCACAGTTTTGATTTTTTCATTACTTTCAACTCAGATTTACAGAGCTCAGAAGTATGACCTTTATAAACAATGCACCCATACAAGAGGATTGTTGGGAAAGTTCTTCTTCAAGGTATTCTGCTATCTTGGATTTAAATTATTGAACCAGCGTGACTCTTCTCAAGTAGGGATGGCATCCTAGCAATTGATGAAGATCAGCACTTGATTGAATCTGGATCAGCTTTCATCGTGGCTCTTCTCCCTAGACCTGCCAGATCCAGCTCTCCATTTCTTTCCACAGCCAACTATGGGACAGCTACAAGAACCTCTGTTCAGCCTGTAGATTTTCTCTAGGAACACTTCAAATTTTTATTTGTGACCACTAGTGAGAAAACCAAAGCTACGCACACAGCCAACACAACTGGAAAGACTGGTGTGAACTCTAGTTCTTTCTAAGCATCATAAATGGAATACTTTACTGAAAAACAATCTCTATATGTAATTGTTCTGTTCTTCCAGTATTCAAATCAGAAAGGAGATTTGGCTACCAGTTAACCACAATGTTCTCCG